ACACGTCCACGCACGTCTGTATATCTATCCATCCAGTACTAGTAATATTAGGGAAAGAACTTTAGTACACTAATGGCTTTTAAACCGCATTGCACTTAATGAAATTTAATTTTAGTTTAATCATCCACTCATAATAAATGCCTGAAGGAAATGAGAAGTACTTTGTTAGCCTCTGCAGCACATTTTCATGTAGCTATGACAAGGGAAGCAATATGCTCAACAGGACGGGGTCTGAACTCTAGGACTATATATGGGAATGGTTTTAATAGTGACTGACACCAACACAGTAGAGAACAGAAAGTCAATGGCTAAGTATGAGTCCCATGTAGAAATTGTTTCCACTAACTTTTTTTTTTGGTGGAATAGCTTGCTGTTTCAAAAACCCAGCATGTGTGGCTGTATTTATGTTCCTTAACTTCTGATCACCTTTAAGCTTAATATCTGCATGCTCAATTATTATTATCTGAAGTTCTACTAAATATAAATTGTTAAAAGGGGAATCAAGAGTAAAAAATGAAATAGTTATAACCACTATTCATTAGAATTTTACTACGTAGTCATCTTTTTAATCCTTATAGCAAAGTAGGTCTATTATGCCCTAATCATCAGGATAAAGGAGCATTCTGGATGCCAGTGGTCCAGCCCCGGGTTTCAGGCTGGGGTGGGTGGAGCCACACCCACATGGGCTACGTGCCAGGCATTGGCCAACCTGCCTCTGGCAAGCATATCGCAAGATGGCCTTTGTTTGCAGAAGAATTCATGATAGATTTTGATCCTAGTAAGATTTTTGTAGAGTTGGAAACTGGAATTCCTTTTTGTCTTTAATATTCATTCTCATTAATGTAGACAAATACGTCTCTATCAAGAGCCTATCAGTGACCTGGCCAATCATGCAATTGATCCATTGGACCTGGTGCACCTCCAGGCCCATGCGGTGGCACTGGGATGGAAAGGATATAGAATGAAAGGGTGCTTTTGTATATTCAGCGTCTGGTGGTTTCATGTGGTCAATATCTTCTCAAAAATATTGATGCTTTTGTTTTTCCCATGTTCACTTATATTGTGGGTACTCACCTCTGCTGGGTCACTCTTATGTAAGAAAAGGTGTGAAATCAAAGTTCTTATATCATGAAACATGATTCTTCTGATAACATGACACATTTAATAGAATACTGTAGCCCATAACTCAGTATGTTTTACAAACATGCGATAAAACAGCTCTGTGCATGTATCTATAATAACCTGACATATACTCATGTTTGTTTTCATTTCGATTTAGCAGCACACCTCCTGTTCCTTTGTAGCTCTGATAATAATAGTAACGAACAAAGGACCCCTCAGGTCTGTCATCCACATACTCCTGCACGCGTATTCATTGTAGATGATCAGGCAGTGCCTGATTTATGACTTGTTTAGCTCACTCAGGAGTGACAGATACTGGCTGGTGGTGAATTGCATTTTAACCAGAGACGGGATGTGAATATTGCAAGAGAAACAATATGCATCTTATTATCCTGCCTGATGAGAATCACACGTCCCCTCCCTCCCTCCAGATTTATCTCTGTATCTGCAGGAGATACTTGGCTGCCTGTTGAACAATTATTCCTGCTCTTTTTCTGTCTTTGGAAAAGAAACAGGATGTGGGCTGAGTTTCAAAAGGCTCTGCTTTCCAAGAAATGGAGCTTCCTGACTGCAGCAGGTCACTCAGTCCTCAATCAGGGACCCATCAGCATCCTGAAAGGGACTCCTACAGGGTGGCAGGCTGTGTGTCCAAATGAAGGTTAGCCCCTAAAGTGCCCCGTGCTGTGTGGTGAGCTAGAGAACCGCATACACTACCCACTAGGCACACATTCTCCCCTGCTTTCTCCGCAGATGATATTTGGACATTTCTGTGTAAAATGTACTTTGGCACCCTATGGTAAAATTGGTTCAGGGCAGTTTGCAGAGACTGAGGGGTTGTCTGTGGGAAGAGGAAGCTGTGGGCCGATCGGCTTGACATCGCTCTGTATCCTTACACGGGACACCTGAGTGAGATTGTTCAGCGGGTTGGACACTGAGCCTGCAGTAGACGCCCTAACAGTCACTCCCGGGCACTCTGGGGCTATGGTGGGTTCCCTGTGGAGCACCATCTGGGGCCCGGGCTGTCACTTCCCAACCAGATTCCTGCTTTATAAGCCCCTGCTTGGATTGCTGGCTCCTTCCTGTGCTGCTTCCCGGGTGGTTCCCGTGTCTCTAACAGCTGCAGGGCCAAGTTTCATCGGGGCATTTCTCTCCCCATCTAGTTGGTGATGAAACCCTCCTCATCTTGATCCTGTGTCAACATGCTCAGCATTTGGGTTTCTAAAGCATTGTTCAGAATTCCAGGTCCTCTTCTTGAATATTGTTGACACAATCGATTGTCCCCACGCAGCCCGTTTTTTGGTGCAGCCTGAAGACAGGGGCAAAGCTGTGAGGTCAGACTGGCTGGACTCAGGACATAGCCCAGGCCTACCCTCCACTGCCAGTTGTGTGAACTTGGGCAGATTACTCACCCCTGGGCTTTAGTGTCTCCATCTATGAAACGGGAAGAATGACCCAGCATCTGCCTCTGAGGTTCCTGTGAGTTTAAGGGGCACATGCGTGTGAAGCTCTGAACACAGAGCCTGGCACAGCAACATCAGCGCCACAGATATTGTTAAACTGTAGACCTGACCTTGAGCTGGAAGGAACCACGACAGATCTTTTTACCTTTGTCGCTTCTCATTTTTCTGCCCGAGACTTCCTGCATTCCAGAGGTGTTTACTGTGTGGTTTTCAGGCTATCTGTCCCCAAGTTGGTAGCAGAAGTAGGTGGTTGGAGGGTGTTTGATGAAGCCTGTGGTCTCTGCCTTACGCTTTGTCCGTGTGCGCTGGTTACTGCAGTCCTGAGCCAGACGTAACTAGTTCTGGACCTTCTTTCTTTGTTTTCTCTTTTTCAGATAAGGTCTGTTGTTTGTTGTTTTTGTTGTTGATGATGAGGATGGTTTTCTGTTTGTTTTTCAGTGCAATGATCAAATTGTAGCCTGGGTCTAGGAGCCTGAGTGCAGGACTAATTCTGAAATGATTTAATTTGTAATTGTTCTGTATCTTGGTTTTGGGGGTCTGCCTCAGAAGTAATTCTGATTGGAGACTCATAGTGAACATGGTTTCAGATTCTCCCCCAATATTTTGCTTTATGTCCTAAAAAGACAAGTCAGAGATATGTAGCCTCCTGTTTCATGAGCCCCTCTCTAGGATATAAAAGCATGTTGTAACAGTAAATATATTTAACTTCTATCTCATACATTGTAATGCAGTCCAGGGTTGTTTGTTTGTTTGTTTGTTTTTAAATATCTACGTCAGGTTAAAGCAACAGTTATCTAACAGTATGTTTGGTGGTTTATAAATTAAAATAATTTCTTATCAAATTCTCTTTTGTATTACTTGATATTCTTAAATGACTTAAGAACAATATAAAAGGCTGAAGAGAAAATACATCACATACATAATTTAGAATATTTGTTACATTTTTAGAATGTAAAATTCAATTAAACTGAAACATTTTGTAAGGACATTGAATGTATGCCTTGATTGAAAAATAGCAACAGTCTTTCTGGACAGAATAGTAGAGTCCTTGATGCCACCTTCACGTCAGTCTCAGAATCAATGTCTGCATTTCAGATCTCAGGTGAGCCTGCTGTGTGTCTTACTTTTAGCATTAATGGGCCCTGTTGTAGCCAAACATATTTTTAGTTGTCCTGGCAATAACATGTCTATTGGTGCAATCTGATTAAATTTGGGAAAGTACAAGGCTAATTGAATTGTCCCCAAAACTAATTGTCCCTGAAATGTGTACTTGTGGACAGTGGTTATGTGAATCTTTCCATTAATTTTGACCACCAAAAGTTACTGCTATGTTATTCTTATTGCACCATAAAATTAAAACACTTTCTGATTGTATGAAAAGCTCTTAGCAGTAGGGGAGAGAATAAGAATGAAACCTGTTTATTAAAGTTTTTAAAGATGATTATTAGGGCATATCTGTGTCTGAAAGGGTATCATCTGTATTACTGATGGACTTAAACAGAGAGTGATAAATACAACATTTCCAATGCTGTATGTCAAATTCAGTGGACAATCTATATAATTCCTAAATTCCTCATGAGCTTAGTGGTTATGTAAAGGTTTTGTCATACTTCTGTTATTTATAAATCCCTGTTTTTAAGCTAATTGTGATACCAAAAAGTGCAGTGTGTCTCAGCACACTGCCTTTCTCTAAGAAGAAAGAAAATAAGAGTTAATCCTCACAGTTATGTGCTTACCATAGTAGTGGGAACTGCTAAAGCTAATTCAGGACACTAACCTTACAGTTCCAGTTTTCACAAATAAAAAACATCTTTAAGGTCCTTATTAAAAGCACGTAAATTATGCCAGTCACACATGTGTATATTAGTAAAATTAAGGAATTTTGTTGTCCTATTGCACAAACATGATACTAGACTTCTATACAGGGTGAGACAAAATTTACAGTTGTTCATGTGGAAAATAATACAATAATTAATAAATAACAATATAAAAATAAACTGTGTTCTCATACAACTGTAAACCTTCTTTTGTCCCATCCTCTATTCTGATTCACATTTCATCGTTTTAATCTTATTTTCTCTCTGAAGGTTATGTAAGATTATATAATTCTGTATTATATACAAATAAAGTAACAGGTATTCCTTTAAAGTATACCGCATATCTTTGCTGCCCATTTTTTATGGCGTTAGCGTCATATCAGCTTGAGCCTGCATTGACTGAGGATGCTCACCTGTGGAATTATTATGGTCATTTCTTGTCATATAGGACTTGTGTACGGAGTTCCACCCAGGAGCACAGCCCCCTACGATGCCCCTAGGGCCCCCCATTCATCCTATAAGATGCCTACACAAAAGCAAGCAAGTGATAAAGAAATATCATAGCGATGTTGAGACTTTTCTTCTCTCCTGCTATTTCCAGAACCAAACTTCGTGTCCTCCTATGACATCGGGAACTTCACTTACTTCTTTTTCCGAGAAAACGCCGTGGAGCACGACTGTGGGAAAACCGTGTTCTCCCGAGCCGCCCGGGTCTGCAAGAACGACATCGGAGGGCGGTTCCTGCTGGAGGACACCTGGACCACGTTCATGAAGGCCCGGCTCAACTGCTCGCGCCCCGGGGAGGTCCCCTTCTACTACAACGAGCTGCAGAGCACCTTCCTCCTGCCCGAGCTCGACTTGATCTACGGCATCTTCACCACCAATGTGTGCGTACGAAACCGTCGCTTTCCCTGCTCTCCCGCTCACTCTGAATGAGCCTATTGTTCTTTGACCCTTGTGGCTTAAAAGTTGCTTTAAAAAGAAATCTTTCTTATTTTACTGGGCTAACATCCCAAAATAATTTTTTTTTGAGTAAGAATTAAATGGTACTCTAAGATCTGTGATTTCTGAGACTGGTATTAGGAAAATAAAGCTGATCGAAAAGTTTTGCTCGATCCTTATTGTAATAATAGCACCCAGTTGTTCTACTGTAAGTTTTTCCTTCCTGATCTGCCAGTGCGTTCTCGGCGCTTTCTGAAATGCCGGTATGCGTTAGATGTGTGTGTTTTTTTCTATTTTTCAAATGTTATGCATTTGCGCATAATGAAAGCACTGTTGTCTGGAAAGTCTGATCTTTGAGATAATGTAACTCTTGACTAAACTGCTGCTCATATATGAAATGCACGTTCTCATTTCCCCAGAGTTGCATTTCAAGCCATCGTTCTAGAAAATGGCTGTCTGAGGCAGGCAATTCTAAAATGATGGTCATGCTTTTAAAATATTTTTGAAAAAAATGATAGCTTTTTTTTTTTTTCTTTTGTGGAAGATACTCTTAGCTTCAGAACCGACAATATTTGGTGTATGAAGTTTTCTGATCTTTCATTCATTCTGGCCTGGTGGCCTGTAGCACAACCCCACGCTTAGGAGATGTGCTGTGATGAGACTCAACAAGATCACACCCAAGCCCAGGAATCACAGATGGCACTGCCACCAGCCCCCACCTTTCTCAGCATTGGCAGTGAGGAGGAGGATTCCTGAGCATGGCCTCTGGTTTAGATCACCTTTGAAATCTTTAAACTGTTAACCTAAGAGTTGGACAAAAGCTCAATATTTGTATCCAAAGTAAATGATCTGAATCAGGATGGGTTTAAAGTGCTGTTAAGTGGGGCAGGATGACCAACCATCGGGTTTGTCTGGGATTGTCCTGCTTTTGGATTGGGGAGAGCCCTGTATCCCGGGAAAACCTCTCAGTTCTGGGTGATCCGGAACTGTCCCCCCCATGATGTCTGCTCGGCCTCTAAGTCTTTTTACTTTTTCAGCTCTCTGAATCAGAAGCCTGCCCATGAATGGTGTTTCTAAAGAGTCACTTTATCTGCATCTTACTTCCCTGTTGATCTTTTCCTTCTGATCTTTCCCCTGCTCAGCTGAAGTGTTAACATTCACTTGATAATAACGTTTACTCCGTGAAGAGTCTCCTTTCTGACATGAAGTTAGAAAAATAAGACTAAAATGGATGGGTCCCCACCCACCCCCACTCCACCGTGACCATCTTTATTGTAAATCTGGTTTTCAGCCCCAGAGGTTATTTTCCCTCCATGATAAGTTTCTTTTAAAAAATCAATTTACAGTTTCTCAAGTCGATTTGCTTTCCAAAACCTTTTTTAAGAAATAGTGTAGGCTGCACAAGATGAATGTTCAGTTGTTCAGTTGACATCAATTTTATACACAATGGGACCTTAGCTTAGTTAGCTGTTCATTCCCCTGGCTCGGGGCTAAAATGAACAATTTAAAAAGTTAGATATGTACTGTGCCTGGGCCATTCCAAGGTGGTGAACAGTCAATTTAGAGACTCACAAAAATAAGTTTCAGACGATTTGTTTTGTGTTGTAAACATCCCTCATGTTGGAAATGGCCTGGTATTTAGCATCTACACTAGCAGAGGCACAACTTCTACACCTTTCCTTTCTTTATTGAATACTGTTCTCGCTCGTCTTGGGAACAGCTTTCCAATACATCTGCCTCTAACCCCACAGTGTGTCCCACTTCTCCTCCCTCTCACATCTCAGCCTTGATCTTACCCACTCAACCGATGACCACATTCTTGACAAGACTCGTTTCAAACAGGAGTGAAATGATGATCGGGGGAGCCAGTTATTTCCTGTCTCTGAAGTGGATGCTTGTAAACACTGGGGCTAAACTTTCTGGTGCTTTCGCTCATAGTACAGGTGTGGTTCGATTCTGTGTGTTCGTCGAGGCCTCAGCCCTGGGGAGTGGGGATAGAGGCCACTGTTCTCACTCCCTCTGTCCCTGTGGGTGTGTGGTTTTCTCAGTCCCGTGGGCCCGAGTTGGCTGAAGGACATGGCATAGTGTTGCAGTGGAGTTTCTCAAGGTTTTTCCTTTGTGTTCTGGGATACCTAAAAATGGTGGCTTACAGATAGTAAATGATAGGGGTAGGGATGGGGGACTGTGAAGGCTTTGATATCTTTTCCCTCCTTAGGGGGTGAGGAACTAGGAGGAACATCTCTACTTTTCTCCCAGTGGCTTTCAGCACACTACGGAAGCCAACTTTATGCACCACTATTGTTGGGCTCATGAAGGAGGACCTACCTCCACCTTCACCTGCCTGGGCTCTGTGAAAGTTAAGGGATGAAACTAGCATTAAATGAAGGCCATGGTATGACCGTGATTACTGAGGGAGGCCAGGTTGAAATATGTGGTTGATGGTCTGTTTGCCAACCACAGACCCAGTTGATGGTACTGATCCCAGCTTTAAGGACACTTATCTACAAGGTTGTGATAGGCTAGGCCTGGCATGGCCTCACCTGCCTGCAGGGATGGGGCAGTGAAGGTTGGTACGTAATTTCAGAAGCCAGGAAGATGGGGAGGAGGGTCTACCTTGTGCCCTTGTGCCCCACCCCCTCACAGGAAGTAAAAGGGAAGAGGGAGGTAAGAGGGTGTGTGTATAAGTGCATTACAGCAATGGTGCTTTGCTTACCAGGGGTTTCAAGAAGTGTCCCCCAACACCTGTCATGTATGCCCAGACTCGCTGTCACTGGGCTCACCCCAGACACAGATCCCAGCCCTGTATTGAGTCATTGAATGCAGTGAACAGAGAAGTGGGATGCCAGCAGGAAGAGGAGAGAGCACAGCAATGGAGTCATGGGTGGGAACTCTGGGGCCCCATGCAATGCAGATGCCAAGTCCTCAGCCTGTGACTTGGGTTAAGTGACCTCCCTGTGCCCCTGTCTGTTTGTCGGTGAAATCAGGCTGGTCTCAGGACCCATAGGTTCCCTGTGAGAAATGAGGTGACCCTTATCAAGTGCTGAGCAGCATATTCAGGGGACAGTATTATTATTAACACTCTTCCTGGCCCCACGTGGCTTCCCCTGGCCCCTGGCACACACCATGCTCTGCATGCTGCTGTGCTTGCTCTAACACAGCCCTTTTCTTGCTCTCAAGCCCAGTCTTGTGCAGAGGCTAATCCTTCCTTGCACTTTTTGACTTCTCACGTTCTCCTTTCCTGAGGAGAAATAAGAAAGAAACAGCCACATGAATAGTTCGTATTTAACGTCTATCACTTCGTTCCCCAGCAGTGGGGACAGGCCTATTGCCAACCGCTCTCTCCTCTGTGCTGGAGCTTCTGGAAGGAACACATGTCCCTGCCCTCAAGCTCCTATCCTCCCACAGGGTGGTTTAATACTGTCCACATGGAGCTCTCAATAAGCATTTAAAATCCTGGTCTTTGGAGTCAGACAGCATAGGATTCAAGTCCAATTCCCCCACCTAGTAGCTGGGTGACTTTGGGAAGGTGTATTAGCCTATGTCCGGTTTTTCTTATCAGTGACTGTCCCTTACCTTAGGATGACTAAGTGAACTGGAATTTGTAAAGCCTCATGAATGGTGTCTGGCAACAAGTCTGTGTTTGTCAAATAAACCAAGTGTAAGGCAGATATTTATGTTTTGGAGTTCCTATGAAATTCCTTTGATTCAGGAAACTCAATTGATAAATCAACTTATATTGGCTAAGACTATTAACAAGAAAATTTAAATCAAAGCTGGCCTCAAAATGCAGATTTATTTAACCAAAAAATTTCTGCTGTTTCCACGCTAGTAGAAGGCCACTGAACATCAGAGGGCCCAGCATGTAAGCACCTCTGCAGAGCCTGAACTCTGTATTACAGCTTCAAGATGTCAGTGTGTTCTCAGATTTTTCTCTCCCATCCTTTTTAAATTATTTAAAAAAATACATGAAAGGTGTCTGGCAGGCACTTTTTGCCAAATGCTTTTAGGTGATTATTATTTCAAGGTTTGCAAATGCACACAAATATCTGGGGATTGAAACAGAAGCAGCAGCTTGCCCCACTGCCCGCTAAAGTAACCAGATACCAATGGGTAAGGACCCGCGTGGGTGCTGAGGGACACCAGCCGCTGGCAGAGAATCTGGCCTTTTTCCTCCAGAATTTAAAAGGCGTAACATAGCCCATCAAAGTCCTTGTCACTCCGGTTGTGGCTGAGTGAATTAATCCCATCTGGCAGGATTACAAGTGTCATAACTGCTAAAGAGCCTTGTTTTTGTGCTGAAGTGTTTGTTCTTCCACAAAGAAACCACAGGGCGTTCCAGCCAGGGCTCCCTCCTCATGCCTGGGGTTTAGGAGGCTGGGACCTTGAGGTTCTCTAGAAGACCCTTCCACTGGGTGGTGAACGAGCATCTGTGGGGAAGACAGTGGGTTCTTTGGGGACTCTGACCTTCCTTCTCCTTGCTCTTCCTCTGCCCCCAGGAACAGCATCGCTGCATCAGCTGTGTGCGTCTTCAACCTGAGTGCCATCACGCAGGCCTTTAATGGGCCTTTCAAGTACCAGGAGAACTCACGCTCCGCCTGGCTGCCGTATCCCAACCCCAACCCCAACTTCCAGGTAATTTCAGGGCGCATTAGGGCGCGGGATCGGTCATCCCCCTCGGAAGCATGCCGAAACCTTGTGGAGACGGCTGGGACAATTTAATCCCCTGGTGGCTGCACAGGCCTCTGTGAGTTCCCCAGGCCCCTCATGGACAGTCCCATGCTGGGCTTGGCTCATGTGAATGGACTGAGCTTTTTGTCAATAGAGGGCCCTGGACCATAAAGGGCGTTTTATCAGCTGTGAAACCTCCGGCTGGACTGGAAAAGGCCGGCATAATGTAGCAGGTTGGGAAGCAAAGCTCCAATTAGTGCTAATGATGGTGGACTCTGTCCCCGAAGCTCTGATCCCTAATGAATGGTGCTCCTGTGAATGGGCTCCAGGGCACAGCGGTGGAGATGCACAAACAGAATTTGAGCTCTAATTGGCGAATGTGACGAGATTTCCTTTTGGGGTAAATGGGATGGCATGGGGCAGCTGTGGGAAAAGGAGAGCAGGTGGAGACCATTCATTCATAAATCTCAGAATTACAGGGTGTTCAACCAATAACAGGCCCTGTACATCATTTAGTCCCATCTCCCAATGTACAGAGGAAGCTGAGAGACCCAAAAAGATTTAGCAATTTACTCTTTGGTTGGTCGGTCAGTAAGTGTATGTGTTTGGTGGGCTGCTGTAACAAAATACCACAGACTAGATGGCTTGAACAAAAGAAGCTTATTTCCTCACAGTTTGGAGGCTAGAAGTCTATGTTCAAGGTTCTGGCAGATTCTGTTTCTGGTGAGAGCTGTCTCCCCAGCCTGTAGATGGCCATGTTCTCGCTGTGTCCTCATGTGGCCTTTCCTCTGTGCTCCTGGAGAGACACTGAACACTTATGACCTCACTTAACCTGATTACCTCCTTAGAGGCTCCTTCTCCAAATACAGCCGCACCGAGGGTTAGGGCTTCCACATAAGAATTTGGGGGAGACACAGACCTTCAGTTCATGACAGCAGGCTTCCCTTGAGGGCCCCTCCTCTGCTAATCTGTCATAGGATCATCACCCCCGTGGGTGTGTGTTTAGTGCCATCCAGCTCCAGACGGTGCTCAGTGCCTCACTGCATCATGCCACATGCTGGCAGCAGGGCTCTGATGCCTAACAGCTTCTCCGGGGCAGTGATCCTACCAAGTACACTGGGGGTTAATGACCGCGCTGGCTTCCCAGCGCAGCCCTAACCTCTTCCCACTAAAGGACTGTTGGTTACCCCGATTAATCAGTGCCAGACCTGAGTCCCCTGCAAGGCCTCCAGATTCTGGTTGGTTTATCATTCCAACACATAACCTTTGGCCTTGAGAAAACAGGGGATGTGGAAACATTCAATAGTGTTACACTTTGGCAGGGACCATTCCATTTTAATTGCTTTGAAACTGGTGTTTTTAAAAATTTTTTTTAAAAGATTGGGATCGAGAGTAAGAAGGACGGTTTACATGCCCTCTTCACCATTTACTGCTTTACTTGGACAAATCACTTAGCATCTTCCATCCCGTACTTTCATCAATAAAATGAGGAGGCAGTGACACAAATGCACAGGCATACATTATTTAGGAGTAAAATGTCATAATGTCAATTAATGTATATTGTTTACTGGATAATGTAGACGATGAAGATGACTCTTAGGGACCATTTATTAGGTGCCTTCCTCATGTCACATATTGTAAGTGCTTTATAGATTTTGTCTTGTTTTCTCCTCTCAGCAACTCTGTAAGGTGGGCATCTGTATCTACACTTTATAAGTCAGGAAATTGAGGGATCAGATTTACATTTATTTTCCCAGGCTTGCTAATGGGAACATTCAGTACTGGACAGAGAAATTCATATTGTGGGTCAGGCCAGCTAACCATTTAGGGGGAACCGAACATGCAGTAGTCACTTTTCCTGATGGCATATATAGTTTCTGTTAATTATTAACCCATCACTGACTCTTGGCCTCTTTGTTGAGTCTCTGTATCTAAATCCCACCCATGTCCTGATGAAATATAACTGTTAAAGAAGGCCCTTTGTAAAACCCAGAGGTGAAATATACCATTCCCTTTAAGAAAGTCATTGTAAAATCCTGAATGTTAAGTACTTTTAACAAAGATGTGCCCTATATTTATAGTGTACTTTTAATTCTTGATGCTGCTATTGCAAAAGTGTTCACAAAGAACAGACTTAATGAACTCTGTGAAGCCTCACTGCCTCTGGCAGTGAGTAACTTTTAGCTCCTTTGTCTGGATATATTTGTAGCCCATAGCAAATCCGTTCATTTCCTAAGGCCTTGGGCATCTTATAAAGCCAGTGTCACTCTGAAGAGCTTGTTCACATTTATGAGATGGGAGTAGGTCCATGGCTTTCACTTCAGGCAGGAAGCTTGCATAGCTGAGCTTGTTTTCTTTGGGTGGAATTTAAGATTTGTGAGAGACTAAAGTTATAGATTATGGTGGTTCTTTGTTAACTCCTAGTACAAGTAAATGTTTTCTTCTGGTTTACCTTGTTTGAAACCATGCTAGCTTAGGCTTTTTCACTGACTTTCCTGGAACCATCCAGGCTGGCATAGAGTGGAATAGGTTTTGAACTAAGGATCCCTCTACTAGTCATGTATAAAGGGCCTTCTGTTTGCAATACCAACAGTGAGAAGTAGTTAGCATTTTAAATTGAAATTGAAATTTTTATTTTTAATCTTGTTTGCCTACCAACCTTTGGAATTTTATGCAACATGTACACACTAGAAGTAGCAATTAATTAGAGGAGCAGAAACATGATTCAAGTTCAGGAAGAAATATGGGTTAGGAGGACAGTGTGTAATCTTTCAAGATTTAATACAGAAACCTCAATTAAAAATGATAAAGAAACAACAAAAACTATTTATTTATCAATTACACTCTAGAAACCACTGTAGGTGGTGCTGTAACATCCTGCCCTGCAGTCCCCAAAGCTATCCAGACACTTCCTAACAGACAACATCATCCAGACCCAGTGACACAGCTGCCGTTGTACAGACTGGAATTTTCTGTGCAGTTTTAGTTACCACCCATCAGAAATGATGGAGCGGAAATGGACAATACACCCTCTGTGGTGGCCAAGCAGATAAAGACTCAAGGTTCCAGCCCTCTAATCACAGAGCTGTTTCCTCTGGTATCCAGCCCACATCCTTAGACGCTGTCCAAAAGTCACCACATTAACATACCAAAAGACACCTTGATCGCTGTCATCACTTAGGAAATTCCTATGGTTTTAGGGGCTCTGTGCCAGAAACAGGAAGAAGACCAAATGTATTATTCTTATTATAAATCACAATATCACAGGTTGATGACTTAAGTAGGATATGGGGTCCAGGACTAAAAGGGGTGGGTGGTGTTTCTGCTACTCGGCTCCTGCCCAGAGGCCTCTTGGTCTCCCAGATATCCAGATTCCTCAAGAGCAGCAAGCTCCTCAACTTCATGTCTCCAGATTTTTATGATGCCATCCTTTAAAAACACTGTGCACACAAAACAAAACCTGTGTGCAGAACCTCCCCCAGCAGACAGATAGTAATTGCCACCTGTACCTTAAATACCACCACTGATTTAAGGAAAAGTCAATGCCAAACATGAAGTCACTCTCAGGACTAGAACTCACCTGGATAGACTTTAGACCAAGTCCAGCAGAGCTGTCTTTCAGTTTGCAGCACATTAGTTAACAGGCAATGCCCTTGTCTTCCAAGTGTTACTACTGAGTGTGATAATTATATAAAATTTCCAGCACAGCCCCCCTGGCTCAATAGCAACTGCTGGTGTATTCACCCATAGATTCCTTCCTTCCTTTATTTATCCATTCATTTCCCTCTGGCCTCTGCTGCTCAGTGAACCAGAGAATTGCTGTTCTGCTACAAGACAGTGCATTGACCATTTACTGTGCCAGGCACACTGTCTCGTACCGTGGCATTTACAATCACTTGCAATTAATTTACAAATGCTTCCTCTGGTTAACTTGGTCAGTCTCACTGTGAAGTTAGCACAGTATTTTTCTAGTGACTTTGTAGGCAGAGACAGGCTGAGAAGCAGTGCCTCACCTGAGACCCCATGCCTCCGGGGTGGCTAAGCTGAGTCCTTCACCTGAGCGCATGTGGTCCTATTGCAAGGATGTGGCTTTAAGCATTGGACCAAACTCAAATCTGTTTCATTCCAAGATTCTCCAATTCTACAATCCGCCTATCATTTTATTCCATGTAGGACATTTTTTCAAGAGCTACAAAAATATCATCTGTTTTTAAAAAAGCAATTTCCATCTTACACTTTGCACCTCTAACCTGTTATAAAATCAGGTATTAGAAATGGCATGTTACAAATGGTAGTTCCAGATGATAGGAGCAGGGAGGTTTATTTTCATCAAACCGACTTACATGAAGTTCTGCAGAGGATCAGCCTGTATTGGTACTGGGATTTATAGTTTGTGAAAGAAATGAGAAAGATCGGTGGTATTTTTCTGATTCTGTGCTCTGCCCCAGGGAAGCTTTGTTGTCTTCCCCTCTTTTTTATCTCACCCTTGCCAAAAACCATCCTACCTAATACCCCCTCGTCTCTTGCAGCACATCTCTGAATTTAATTCTCAGCAATTTTTAGGCCCTCTTCCCCCCTGTATATTCTAGGTTCATCTTTATATATTTTCATAATCTGAAAACCTCTTTCCTCACTTCCTTCTTCCTTCCCTTTCTTCTTTCCCACTTCCCTCCC